TACTTATTTTGGGACTGTGTCCATGTGCAAAATATTTGGACATGTTTGATCAGAAGTTTGAAAAAACATTGCGGACTCACGATAGAAAGAAAACTAGAATATTTTGTACTGGGTACTCTGAATAAGCAATTGCCCGGTATATATCTTGTCATCCTTCTAATCAAAAAATATATTACTCTCTGTAGGACAAAATTGGAAATCCCAAACTGGAAAAGCACAAAAACATTTATAAAATCATATAGAGATATAGACATGTATTCCAATTATTTACGGACTGAGAAAAAAAGATAAGAAATCACAGAGAAATGGGAGAACGTGAAGCTAATTTTCGAAAATTAAAACAGTCTGCGAAATAAGCGGTTGTCCGATTGCCCGGGACAACAAAAAAGCGCGTCGGGCAACTTAAAATTACGAAGTTGTTGTCCGATCGGACAACTTAATAATTTATTGACATAAAGAGTAAACCTATCTTAAAATCTACACAGAGAATAAAAGTATTGTTTGCCTAAAATACCTTACCAAAATCGTAAGGTTTTCCTCAAGATTTTCTCTCACAGTAATCTGGTGACCTCTCTGTGTTTGCGCAATCACCTTTGCTATTATTAGATCTATAGTTATTTATAGCACCGCCAGTAGCTGGTCGTTTTATAAGGTGACGTAATGCCTGGGGGAGTGGGGGGGGGGATGTCATGTTTGACGCCTTTTCATTGGTCGAAATGAAACAAAGGCGGACATTACTTCAAAATTATCGCGCCATCTACAGGTGTATCTACCTCGTGTTTCTCTGTCGTCTACTTTCATCATGGAGAAGTTTCTAAAATATTTTGACGGTGCAAAGCCAGGAAAAAGGTTACCCCAACAAACAACTGAGTCAGAAGTGTCAAAGAAAAAGAAATTATACGAGACAGATAAACGCCAAAGAGGATTTTTACCGTCATGGCAATCAGGGCGCACTTGGCTTGTTTTTGACAGCATAGCAGGCAAAATGCACTGCTCAGCGTGCAAAGAATGCTACCAAGGAGATTCGTCGCCTTTCGTCCAAGGTACAGCCTCACTAAGATTGGACGGCATTAAGAAGCACGAGACGTCAGAGGCACATGTCAAAGCGACGGCGCGAGTGTTGGCGAAGACTGCTCCTGCAAGTAAAAGTGTCGCGGCGGACTGCCTGCATCGGCTGCAAAAGGCAGAATCCGAACGTCTAGGAATGTTAATGAGAAATGCGCACTTTATTGCAAAACATAACCTTAGCTTCNGGCGGACTGCCTGCACCGGCTGCAAAAGGCAGAATCCGAACGTCTAGGAATGTTAATGAGAAATGCGCACTTTATTGCAAAACATAACCTTAGCTTCAAAACGTACGAGTTACTTTGCAAGCTCGACAAAGCCAAAGGTGCAGACATAGGGACGTCTTACTTGAACGACAAGGCTGCTGCCTCTTTTACCGAATCTATTGCCCGTACGACAAGAGCCGAGCTTGGAGAAAAAATTAAGGAATGTGACTATTGCAGTTTCACTTGCGATGGTTCTACAGATTTCACAGGGGAAGACTTAGAAAGTTTATACTTGAGGACTTCTACCAGAGGAGTAATAACTGATACGTTTCTCTTTATTGGCTCACCTGATTCTGCTTCCAGTGAGGACATTTATACTTATATCAAGACTGTTTTTGAAAAACTGAACATCGTGGAGCAGATTGGATCAAAGCTGGTTGGATTCTGTGCAGATGGAGCCTCAAACATGCAAGGTAATATTATCAAAATGTTTTCTTACCACACAAAAAAGGTGTTTAATATGACCAGGTCAGGTGGCAATTAACTTAGTGCAAACAGTGAGTGCAAAATAAATTGCATCAGAATGGTACTTAAACATAAAAATTAGTTAAATGACATGATTTACATGTACTATAACTAATTAACAAGTGACTGTAATATAAAAATATGTTGGTTTTGACTGTAGAATTTTGTGGCCTCTTTGATGAAATCCTTGTTTTACATAAATATTTTTAGTACTAGCACATTTTGAGAACAACATTTTAAGAATCATGAAAGGATTTTAATTAATAAGAAAAAACTTAATTGAGAATATTTTTTTTTAGGGACTAGATCTGGGCTAGCTGCATTATTAAGAAAAGATTGGCAGCATATTGTCATAACTCATTGCCTAGCACATCGCTTAGAACTTTCATTTAGAGATGCAGTAAAAGTTGCAGCTCCCAAGCTGTATGAAAAGGCTACCACTCTTCTGCTAGGCCTTTATTATCTGTATCGAAAAAGCCCAAAAGAGAAAAAAGGTAAATAATGTTGAATTGTTATTTAAAGCATGTAGGGTCAAATCTAAGTTGATAAACAGTGATAAAAGCTCATCTTTCCCAGCACCTCAGTTTAAGATGTACATTGTATCCTTAGTTCAATTAAGATAAACATTGTATCCTGTGTGAAAGTTTGATGCTGCACCCTGTGACCCATTTTATGCACACTGTGCAAAATAAGCAAACAATGTGTGTGTGTGTGGGGGGGGGGGGGCAGCTTGGCAGAGGTCTTTGCTTTCCAAGTTCTTTTCTGATGTTAATTATTTTTAAACAAACAACGTAACATTATTAGACTTATTAATTTAACACATAACATTCAGTTACAAGTATAATTGTCTTTCCAGGCTTGCAGAGGGCATTTGATACTCTTGAAAAGAAACAGGTATTACCAACTCGTATTGGTGGAACAAGGTGGCTACCGCATTATGATAGGGCAGTGAATGTACTGATCAAGGCGTATGTTGTCTTCAGATATCACTTGGGAAATTCCTCCCACACAAATGCCAAAGCTGAAGGATTAGCTAGACTTTTACAAGATGGACATTTGATCATGTTCATTCTGACTTTGAAGGTATGTAATTTTGTTTACTCATTTACAATTTTTTTGTTTCATAAAAAAGATCTTTTACACTTTAAATATGTATTTGTCTTCTTTTTATACTGTGCCAGTCAGCACCATGTTTTTAGTAGTTGTTTACTTTATTTCAGCGAGTGATAGAAGTGGCAATGAAATTATCACTGTATCTCCAGGGAAGTGCCTTATCACTTGCAGATGCTTATCAGAGAGTGAGTGCCACAAAGATGGCACTTAATCATATGAAGTCAAGGTGAGGAAAAATTAACATGCTTTCACATCTTGCCTCATGCAGTAACATGTTTCTCTATAATGTCAATTGCATTGCGATTGTATCTTAAGCTCATTTTATGGCCATTTTACAGGATTGATAACAGTGTAGTGACCATCTTATCAGATGAGAAATACCAAGGAGAAAGAGTTATTTTCAAGGGCAAAAAACCACAGGCTAATGTGCATTTAGAGGTGTTGATTGATGCTCTGTGTAGATCTCTAGAAAAGAGATTCCCTGAAAATGAACTGATTTCAGCCACAGCAATTGGAAGCCTCAGGAATTGGGCCAACCCTGGATCAGATTTAATATCAGGTTCAGCCCAGTGCTGTTTCAAGCATTCAGTGTTTTCCCTGAGTTAAAAGGTCTGCGTGGCAGTCCCAGCAATGGCATGCACACACCAAAAGTGTTCACCCAACCAAGGGATGGGGGGTTTCATGAGGTTCAGGGGCATGCTACCACAGAAAACTTAAAAACTTTTTTTGGAACAGATTCTTTAACATTTAATGAAATTTACGTTTAAAATTATATTTGAGTTAATTTGAATGAAATATACTTCGTCTCAATTTTGCTCAGTTAGGTGGTGTTTTTTTTTAAAAACAAATTTCAGTGAGATGATCCACCTCATGTGCAGGGGAAGCACTGATTATTGCAATGTTTACTGTTTTTGGATTTTATTTTTCAGTTTTGAGAAAAACTAACACAATTTGTTTCTTATTTAGACATATTATAACCAAAACAGTGTGATTAAATTGTTGCATGTTCAAACTTTTACCTGCAAAATTCTTCTTTAATTAGTTGCCTTTCAGCTTGGTTACTAAGTGCTAAGCAGCATGTTGTATGATTATTGATGATAATGAAATTTGAATTATTTGTTCGAATACTTATAGGAATGTTTAAGTTTGTTTAACTTGTAAGCTAAAAGTAAATTATAAAAAGCATTGATAAAGTTTCTATTTATTAGCGCATACACATTTGTCATAACTGAAGTTAGATATTACCATTTATATTTATAACAACTAATTTAGATTTTTCTTTATTTTTTTCTTAAGCATTTGGTGATGATCACATTAGAACTCTGTGGACACATTTCCAGCCCGTATTATGTGATGCAGGAGATATAGAAGAGGTCCTTGATGAATGGTCAACTTTGAAGTGCATGATTTATCAGAAGTGAGTAACAATTAATTCTACTTGGTAAAACAAAAATTTAACAAAAGATATACACAAGTGATTAAATACTCAATACCTTTCACAAGCAGCCCAAAACCGTTGTTGTAGCAAAATGTTCCTCAATATTTTTTTTCAAACATTTTTATCATATTATGTGTAGTGTTATGATTATTTTCAGATACTCAGAAGAGTTGAAGGACAAGACTTTGACATGGAACACCATTTTTGGGAGCCTCTCAGAAGGAATGGAAAAAGTTTTGAGGATTTTTAGCATTTTGTGTGCCCTTCCCCCAACATCTGTTAACAATGAGACAACTTTCAGCCAGATGAAACTAGTCAAGAATAAAAGAAGGGGGCACCTACGAGATAGCCGATTAAATGATCTCTTAACCATTAAGTTGGAATCCCCAAACATTGAGTCATTTGACCCAAAACCAGCAATCTTGGACTGGATGGTAAGTGCTCTGACTTAAAAGTTGCATGCAATATGGAAAGTAAGATAAATTTTTTATTTTTAATTTTTTCATTTGCACTTGTTTTTGTACTCTGTTTGTAAGTATTTAAACTTTATTTTAATAAAAGATAAATGTGAAATTCTGATAATGATTGATTTGTTTTCAGACAAGCAGTGTTTCTGGGAAGAGAAGAATTGGATCCAGTGCCAGAAAGTCCCAGGCCAAGTCCTCATTGTCACAGACTCAGGGGGAAGTATTGTTGGATGAAGAGTTAGAGGGAGCTGCAGCTCAGTCATCAGATGAAACTGGTCTCCTTTTTGAATTTGAGGTACAGCCCTGTCTCACATAAAATTGAGAATGATTCCTTTATTCTTTTCAATCTGTGCATGTATGTAAAAATCTAAATACTTCAATGCTTGTACTCCACAACCATGCAATTTATTGTATTTGCAGGTATTGCAGTCTTCCATTTTTTATATTAACAGTTCTGTATGATATTTTATATTGAATTATTAATGTCTTTTCTAGCAAGAGGAAGCTACAGATTCTTCGGTTTGTGGTGAGAATGGTGAAGATGATGAAGATGAATTTGATGAAGTGGATGAGATGGAGATGGCAGAAAACACAGTGTTTTCATTATTGTTGTCCTTCAGAGACTAGTCTGAACCAGACATTTTATTATGTTTAAAACAGTTACTTTCCTATTAATATACAGACACTCTACATTCTGATCACTCTGTCTGTCCGTGCTGTCCAACATGTCTTGTACTACTATATGATTATGATAATGGTGAGGGTGAATTAGATGAGGTAAATGAGATGGATTGGAAGAAAATGTAGCATTTTCATTATTGTTTGCATTATTGTTCATTATGATAATTATATATAATAAATTAATGTGTCCACATTTGAAACTGATTTAATAGACTGTAAGATGCACAGAAATGGAGAATACTGTTACACCTAACTAGCAATCAATATATTGAATCTATTTAAAGCTACACGGTGCATGCTGGCCTTTAACCCGCTGTAATAAAAAGGAATCTTGGAAGTTTTGTCTTATTTTTCTTCGATTCATTTGGGCAACCAAAAGTGGATGGGGACAACCAAAAATTTTTTAATGGTTGTCCGATGGGACAACCATTCTAAAAAGCTTATTTCACAGACTGTTAAAACATGTGGGGTTTCCCATTCTGTCCATTAAAAATGTAATTTATATTAAGTCTATACTTTCTTTTTTCTTCACACTAGTATTTTTATATATCCATATATTTATTTTATTACAGCTAAAAAACAACAACTTTGTATCTTAGACTTATTAGCCTATTGTCTACCTTTCTGTAAATAGTAGTTGTAAAAAGTGATAGTATACTACATTTTTATTTTTATTTTTTATACCTTGATAGAAATGGCAAAGTCACAATGATAATACTATGTAGTTGCTCCAAATGTGAGAGGCATGTGTGCGTGTATGGGAGTGAGAGGTTTAGTTAATTATACTAGTTATTATTTAGTGTATTTTTGGTATTTTCTGGAAAAAAAAAAAAAAAAAAAAAAAGTTGCCAAAGACTTCTTTTTGGTGTGAGATGGACAGAAAAAGAGGCTGCAACTGACTGTACTGTACATTAATTTACCTTGTTTGATATTTGACATTTGCAAATGTATTTTGGTCCTTGTGGTAACTTCAGTAATATCTGCGATAAACTGATTATAGCAAAGGGACGGCAGATTTGTTTCATAATTTCATATTTTGTCAAGGCAAAAAAATAGNNNNAAGTTGCCAAAGACTTCTTTTGGGTGTGAGACGGACAGAAAAAGAGGCTGCAACTGACTGTACTGTACATTAATTTACCTTGTTTGATATTTGACATTTGCAAATGTATTTTGGTCCTTGTGGTAACTTCAGTAATATCTGCGATAAACTGATTATAGCAAAGGGACGGCAGATTTGTTTCATAATTTCATATTTTGTCAAGGCAAAAAAATAGTTAAGATTACTAATTGGTGATACTTGATATTAAATCACTGTAGGATTTAGTTAGCACTTTTAATGTGCTTGAGAAGCCGGCGTTTTGGCACATCTGATGCAACGTTCATTTGCATAAGTGATAACTTTAAGTTTAGGGATACTCCCATTAGTTTGGACATTTCATTTCACTCCACCCAGTGACTTCATTGGAGAAAGACCTACTTCACATTTTGTTCTTTTTTAATTTCACGGCTGTGACTTACAATTTATTATTTCAAGGATAGGCATAGGTGAGTTAAATGCATTGTCACATATTTACATTGGAAAAGTGAAAATCAATGAATTTTTTGTGGAGATTTTACGGGGATATCTGGTTCCATTCATTACGGACAAAATGACAGATAAACATAGATTTATGCAAGGCAATGGACTCAAAGTACACCAGCAAATTGGTGTAGTGTTTTCTGTCACTGCCGAGAGGATCCTGGGATTTCGGTTGCGCTTATGGGGACTGCGCTGGGATGCCCACATATAAAGTAACAGCCAACCATGTGAGGTCCTAGATCCCTCCAGATCAGTGCTCAAGACAGACGCATCACGCTCTCTCTAGAAAAGATTCCATTATACTACAAAGCAGTGCTGTCCCTACCAAACAGGAGGAACAGACAATACTCTCAGTAAGCACCAGAAGTGTATTTTACTGCTTTTAGAAATAGAGTAAAACACTTTAATGGCAAAGCAATTCAATAAAGACAATAATATCAACTAGTTTAAAATGCCACCAGAGAGTACGGACCTTGATCAAATTGAGAATTTGTGGGCTGTGCTCAAGCAAAACCTCAAACACCAGGAATCCTATCTTCAGTGATGTACCAGAGAAGATAACTTCGAACTCTGAATTGATTTTACTGCATCAGAAATGTGGTAAAATCTGTGTAGGGAGCAGTGGGGACAGCATTATTCAGTTATGCAGGAACCACAATAAAGATGGACTTGCAGTTTTCTATATATTCCTGTGTAAATAGTCATTGCCAAGGAAAGCAATTTTTCCATCAAGATTAGGGGCCAAACCTTTTTTCAACAGTAAGACACTCTGAATGTCCAATGTTATTTACCAGTAAATTAGAGTAATCATGAAAAATGTGCACCTTGTGCCAAATGCAGGCCTACGCTACTGAGCATCTTCTATAGAGAAACCAACAAAGAAAACAAGTCCAACACCAGTCCAAGCAGCCATGCCCCCATCAATAGCCTAACTGTACAATGAACGCTTAAAAATGGCGAAGGAAGTGGAAAAGGCTGGATGGAAGCAGAACAAAAAGAGAGAAGAAAAGCTGAAGAAAATTGAAAAACGGAGTGTGGAGGAAGGAGTCAGTGTCTCACCAGATTTGCATGATAAGTTGGTCGACATGACATGACAAATGAGGTGGCATTTAACCAAGATGAAATGGTGCATGAATCTGAGGACCATGTCATCTACTGCATATGAATTCAATTCACAAAGTGGTTTTATGAAACTTCCCACTCGTAGAACTTTGTTTGATTATGAGAATGTAGGCTCAATCTCTGGTGGTGTGAGTCCAAGTAGTTTAAAATGACATCTTACTGCTGTCAAGTTTTCAGAACTTGCAGAACATCAGAAGAATGTTTCTCTTCTGTTTGATGAAATTAAAATTAAGTCTGACCTTATCTACAGTAAAAGCAGCTGTGTGCTGGTGGGCTTTGTAAACTTGGGATCACTGAACCAGAATCTCAAGTCATTAGAAACGCAGGTCAATGAAGAGCAACTTAAAGAAAAGAAGCTAGCACAAAAAATTATCTTTCCGAATTTTCAGTGTCCGCAGAATGAAGTCGGAACAGTGCAAGCTGGGCTTTACATGCGCGACTTAAAAACGTTTTTCCGCGGGGGTTCCGCTTTGCCTTTTACACGACCTTTCAACAGGCGTAATCTCATACTTTCTTCGTGGCTGAACAATGTTTTTCCGCGGGGGCCCAACCTCGTTGATATGTGGCTTAATAGGGGTCTTTCCTCCAACAATACAAAATAATACAGTGTTCAAGTATACCCAGGCCTGTTAGCGACTCTTAATACCTGTGTTTGTTGAGTTTTTGAATCTGTCTAACATTTAACTATGTGAGGTTTCAATATCTTAATTAATTAATAGCATTTGAAAAAAACTACGTTGTTCATTTCTTCTAAAAATAAATAGATGAAAGCGAACTGAATCTCATATCATTTAATAAAAAAAAATCATAATAAATTTCCAAAACGTAATAATTGTACATGTAACTGTATGAATAATCTTTATGTGATTTGATGGAAGTGTTTAACGGCTCTCAAACCTTTTCTGTGAAGCTCAGTCTCAGGCCTACCCAACTACCAGACTCNGGCCAAACCTTTTTTCAACAGTAAGACAATCTGAATGCCCAGTGTTAATTACCAGTAATCATGAAAAATGTGCACCTTGTGCCAAATGCAGGCCTACGCTACTGAGCATCTTCCATAGAGAAACCAAAAAAGAAAACAAGTCCAACACCAGTCCAAGCAGCCATGCCCCCATCAATAGCCTAACTGTACAGTGAACGCTTAAAAATGGTGAAGGAAGTGGAAAAGGCTGGACGGAAGCAGAACAAAAAGAGAGAAGAAAAGCTGAGGAAAATTGAAAATCAGAGTGTGGAAGAAGGAGTCAGTGTCTCACCAGATTTGCATGATAAGTTGGTTGACATCCTTCAGTCAAACACATCAGAGTTTCCAGAAGGTTCTGTACAAGAACTCCTGTGGACAGAGCAGCTGCAGGCAACCCAAAAGAAAAGTGCAAAACAAATGAGGTGGCATTTAACCATGATGAAATGGTGCATGAATCTGGGTGCCATGTCATCTACTGCATATGAATTCATTTCACAAAGTGGTTTTATGAAACTTCCCACTTGTAGAACTTTGTTTGATTATGAGAATGTAGGCTCAATCTCTAGTGGTGCGAGTCCAAGTAGTTTAAAATGACATCTTACTGCTGTCAAGTTTTCAGAACTTGCAGAACATCAGAAGAATGTTTCTCTTCTGTTCCATGAAATTAAAATTAAATCTGACCTTATCTACAGTAAAAGCAGTGGTGAGCTGGTGGGCTTTGTAAAGTTGGGATCACTGAACCAGGAACTCAAGTCATTAGAAATGCAGGTCAATGAAGAGCAACTTAAAGAAAAGAAGCTAGCAACACAGCACAAAAAATTATCTTTCCGAATTTTCAGTGTCCGCGGAATGACGTCGGAACAGTGCAAGCTGGGCTTTACATGCGCAACTTAAAAACATTTTTCCGCGGGGGTTCTGCTTTGCCTTTTCCACGACCTTTCAACAGGCGTAATCCCATACGTCTTTCTTCGTGGCTGAACAACGTTTTTCCGCAGGGGCCCAACCTCGTTGATATGTGGCTTCCTAGGGGTCTTTCATCCAACAATACAACATAATACAGTGTTCAAGTATACCCAGGCCTGTTAGCGACTCTTAATACCTGTGTTTGTTGAGTTTTTGAATCTGTCTAACATTTAACTATGTGAGGTTTCAATATCTTAATTAATTAATAGCATTTGCAAAAAACTACGTTGTTCATTTCTTCTGAAAATAAATAGATGAAAGCGAACTGAATCTCATATCATTTAATAAAAAAAATCATAATAAATTTCCAAAACACAATAATTGTACATGTAACTGTATGAATAATCTTTATGTGATTTGATGGAAGTGTTTAACGACCCTCAAACCTTTTCTGTGAAGCTCAGTCTTACTTAATTTTTACTCACTATTAAATGCTTCTATGATCGTAGGCTTTTTTAAGAAATTGTATTGGATTATTTTGCTTGTAAATATGTGTGACTACAGCACTGTTAACTCTGCATAGCGCCGCCATATGGCAGCACTGTTGCAGATGCGACAGTTGTCAATCTAATCGGTCTTTCTGTAGCACTGTC